CCGCCCGCACTGCTGTGCACAAACTGACGGTCCGAGAAAAAATTCTGAGTTTGCCTGCCATGCCAACACCTTCTAGAAATTACAAGTCACGCATCTGCAAACGTTCAAAGACATGCAATGGTTTCACAATGACTTGAAGATTCTGACACATGAACGGCGTTGCAAAGTTTGGAGGCAGGATATGTTTCCAGGTTTCCTCCATGAACGCTTCATGCTCACTCCACAGTGATCATTGCTTGAACGTTTCAAAAATGCACTGTTGACATTGCTCAAACTGACATAAAGAAAACGTCAATTGACATGGTGTGACATGAAGTCGGCTACTCAATTTTTTTAACACCGCAACTCAGCGTGTGCATGTCAAGACTCATAGTCCTTCTTGTGCTTCCAGCACCAATGGCAGCACGGAGTGTCGAAGCGTGCCACTGAAGCTCCCTCATACCTACCTTCAGTTGCTGTGAGACCGCACAACATGATTCTGAAATTCTGTTTCTCCATGAGGTGTAACGTCTTGTATTTAACATGCTGAATGAGTTTCAAGGTGTCTGGAATGGTAGGCAACCGCATTGAACGTGCTGCTCCTGTGTACTGAGCTCCTTCTTCGTCCTCACTTGATGAGGTGGTGGGCGCATCGGAGTCTGAGTTGCTGCTCTCTTGATCCTCAAGCTTGACTTCACTGTTGCAATCGGCCTCCAAGTCAACAACTTCAGGCGGCACACTCAAACTCGGTTCAACATGATGGCTGAACAAATCACCGGCGCCGTCTTGAAAGCTCACTTCATTGGATTGCATGCAATGGGCTGCAACATCCGAAGAGATGTCCTTGAATCTTCCACTCCTTGTCTCATCCGGTGCAAATCGTCCAACTCTGATGTCAAGCAACAATGATTCCAGCAGTCTAAGCGGTCTAGCCATAGCATCCCTGCTGTAAACAATGGCAGATTTCATAAATGAGACATGTCCACCCAGCGCCATGCGGTCAGCCCAATCGTCACCACGTTTTGCCAGCCAACTCAAAATGGTGCACTTGCAACTGTGTGATGTGAGCCTTCTGCCATCAAGACAAATCCCTTTGGCGGCCAACACCATATGCAACCATTGCTTCATTTCGTCTGTTCCCAATGGACGCTTTGTAGCTGCACCTTCTGAGTTTGGGGCTGGCAATGTGGGAAGGCCTGAGCTCAAGTCGATGCCAAGTTGTTGCCTGATGTCCAGCCATACCTGTATCCACGGTTCATTAGTGACCCCGTAGTTCGGTGAAACAGCTGTCAAAAAGGTGTTGCGAAAGGCAGTTGACTCTTGACATTTGTGAACTGAAATGTGCAGCTCCACAAAGGCTACAGCTCCAGTCATATCTGAATCGACCTCCATGAACTCAGCATGTTGCATGTCCATCCACCTGCTACGACTGTAAATTGCAAAAAGCACTGTGCCTGCAAAAACACGAGTCCAGGGGTCTTCAAAAGTGTCGTGCAGTGCTGAGTGGAGTGCCATGACCTCTGCAACCTTGAACGGATGTGCTTGCCTCTTCGGTCCAGAATTCTTGGTGCCTACAGCACCTATGCATCTCCTTGACATCGTGATTGTCATGAGCTCTTGCAATCCAACAACATGCTGTGCAAAATTCAAAGCTTGTACAATGCTCTGCAAGTTGGATGTGGCGGCACCTGAATCACGAAGATGACACAAGTATGCATAAAGGTCACTTTCCGAGCCTGGAAAAGATTTGCCTGTGAGCTTCAGGTGGTGCACGAAACGCAAAAAGGAGTGACATCTCTTGAGCAAAGTCTGAGGCGCCTTTCTACAAAAAATGTCACGCAGCATCCTCAACTGATGTGAGACATCTCCAACTTGTCTCAGCTGTACCACGACGCTGCAACTGTCAGGCAACTGCAAAAGCACATCTAACCACCGTTCGAGAGCAATTTGAAACTGTGAGTCTCTCATCTCCGTCCAGCTGTCTTCAACTCCACTTTTGACTACCTGTTTCCAAGATGTTGCAACAACACTCTGAGCGCGCTGCTTTTTCTCAGGAGGTAGCTGAGCTGTAGCAGGACTCTCATAAAACAGTGGTGGCGGCATGGGTCGTTTCATGGTAGCAGGTTTCAAGTTGAACAAACTCTTACCACCTATGATGTGCCTCCAACAACCTGATTCCCACGGCAATGTTACTGCAGGTTCAGCTGGGAGTTCACTCCAAGATTTCGAAAAAATCAACTGTGACCCCTTCATGTTGATGTCAAAGTTCCGCACTGCTAAGCTCCAGGACACCACTGCGATCAAAACGCGAGCACTGCAGGATGCCAGCATGAAGGCTTGCACTGCTACGGAGCGCCCGGTGCTATTGTGCGAAAAGACAAGGTCTGAAACATGTAATGGCAAAAAGAATTCACTTCTTTCATGTGAAATGCAGGAAGGATGTCAAGGGCGCGAATAAGCAGCCTTATTCGCACCCTTCGATTCCATTGATTTGTCAAATGTGAAATGCAGGATGTCAAGGGCGCGAATAAGCAGCCTTATTCGCACCCTTCGATTCCATTGATTGTCACAAAACATGTCAAACAAAAACAGAACCCCAATGCAATTTTTGAATCCTCATGAAAATGTTTGAGGAGCCCTACCCACCCACACCTTGAATGATCACAGTTGCAGAGATATATATACTTGACATCAGGCAGATTAGATGCAAGTGACGCAACTGAAATGATTTAATTGATCACAGTGTGACTGTTTAAATAAGTTTGACAGTTTGTGTTATAAAATTGTCAATGAAATACGGAGTTGGACAATGAGTTGGTGTCAAAAAGGTTTGACCAAATTTGTCAGATGCTTTCTAGAAATACTCTAGAAGATATGCCAGAAGTTTGTGCACCTTTTTTGTTTCTTAGCCAAATGTTTGGCTAAACAAAAATTTGCTTGCTTGGGAAATAAGGCTTTCATCTTCTTCGAAGAGTTCCAGCAAAACAGAACCATGTTAGCCGCATAGTCCACATCCTGGAGCTGCAACTTGACGGTGGAACTGTAAGCTGCATTGACCGAGCTCTTCTTTGCATCATCTATCACTCTGATCTTGCCGCCAGTGCCCTGGAAGAGGACGAAACGCGGGCTGAGGGACCAGTCTTCGGTTTCCAACAAAACGGAAATTTCCTGTTCTGAATACGGCCCCTCCAAAAAACCCTTTGCCACTTCTTCAGCCGTGGTCTCGAGGAGAGCGGCTTCCTCTTCAGGTTTGAAGCGCTTGGATTGACACATCAGAGACTTACGCCTCCAAGCTGCTGATTGTAGCAACTCGTCCTCTGTGATGGATGCTGGCACCAGCTGCTCTCTGTATCCATTAGGGGCCGCTTGCAACCCAACCAGGGGAATTCCCTGCTTCAACAGGGAAACAACCTCCATATCCCAAAGCCAAGCTGTTTAAGGACGTGCTCGAAAAGGAGGATGTTCTTGGACGCTGTGCATCTTTTGACATCTGGGTGCATTGTGTCCTTGAGTGCCAACTCTTGGCAATTGAGTTCGTTTGTGAATTTATGCAGGTTGAAAACGGTGGCCAAGCGCTCCTGTGCCAATACCAGAGGGTCAGTTCTGACCACTTTCTTGATAGCATCCTTTGTAGCCACATGCAGAAAGGATTCATTGTCCATGGGGTGAACAACAGCTTCAGCTCTAGTCAGGAACTGTTCGGGTGTATGCCACACCCCATATTTAAACTCCTTTCGCGGTCTCTTTGACTTGTGTTCCTGTGTTCCTTCTGGCTGCTCAGTGCTATGGTGCCCCTGTGAAAAAGGAGCTGACAGGAGTTTATGTGATTCATGTTGAATGGGAGCATCTGTTTGAAAAAACCGTTGCATACTCTGGAATCAATGGCTCATGCCGCAAGGTCTGATGCCCCAAACTCAGGTTGAGCAGCTCCTTCAAGCGTGGTTGAAGGCTTGGGATAACACCCATGTGTGCTGCTGACTGTCGCACACATTCAGCCATACGGTTGCATAGCAGCGGAGGATATTCAGCCTCCATCGCTGTTGGAAAAACAACATGCTCGCCACGGAAAGGTTGCCAGGATGCATGCTGATGGTCCCCAGAGCAGTCAATCGCCAGGGTGGAAAAAAGGTCGCTCGTGGCAAGCAGCTTAGTGCGTTTGTCCCTTGAGCTGCCATGCGCACAAGCATCGAAATAAACTGCCTCCAATTTCGAAAACCATTGAGTAAAAGGTTGATCCTGAGTTTCATGAACCAGGAGCGCCAGCAGCGGCCACAACCAGGAGCGGCCGGGGTTCTCTATGGATACCAGGCAGCCCAAAACAAAACACAGTTGTAGAATGACAATTGCAGCGCGGTAGAGCTGGTTTGCCAAGGTCACCTTGGTCAGGTCAGCCCCACAAAGGTGAGGCAGACCCAACAAGTTGTCAGCATCCCTCAAAGGTTGAGGGCCCATGTGCCCGCCCATGCTTTTAGGCATGGGCTTCTCTCTTGCTCTTGGACACGTTCCGCACGGTAAGCCCAGGTGTATATAGCATGGCTTGACAAACTTTATCATTGACTCCAGTAACTGCAGCTGCTGCTTAGGAACCCCCCTACAAAGTAGTTCAGGTTATTTGGATGATTCTTTCGGTCTCAAATATTGGGAGCATACCCAAATAGGTAGGTAAATTGGCCTGGTCGCAGAACAGCTTTCCAGAACGAAATACGACCGTTACCCAAAAAAAATATAATGCCCCTGTATGTATGCCCCCTTCATCAGTAGTCAAAAAGACATAATTGTCATTCTGCAGCGAAAGCGAATCACCAAATGCGACCGTGGTGAATTCTTCGGAAAAACTTCTATTGCCATCCCTCAGAGATTCCTGGCACTAGGCATGGCAATCAGTCAAATATATCATCTGAATCATCTCATAACAGCACGGATAACCACAAACAAACTTGGGAAACACAACAAGGGAGGAGGAAAAAAAACATCCATCATATTAAACTTATTATATAAACCAATTATTAAACCACCATTTCTTAGTGCCATTGTGGCGCACCATTTCCACACGTTGAAACTCCAAGCGACTCCTCCGTAGAGGCGGTGAAAATCCAGGGCCGTTTTCGTAGACGCCCCACCAGCCGCGCCAGCTGCGGATCCGGAGTGATGTCCTGACATCGACGGGGCTTGTGGCCGCGCTGGAAAACTGGGTAAAGAAGGGCAGGTAAATGGTGGGTATATAAATGGTGGGTAAATGGTGGGTAAATGGTTGTTCATCTCCCCAACTATGGTATCTTCATGTATCTTCGGTCTTGACAGTCTTGACCGTCTTGACCCAGCCACGCGTTGCTGGATTGTCAAGGAAACTTGATGAGAAACCACGGTGAAATGCCGCTCCACATCTGTTCGGGGGTCTCTGTCCTTGTTTTCCCTTGCAGTAAAGTCATGAAATGAGTGGAATTGAGAAAGCCGAAAATGTCCAGTTCGCATCAAGACCTTGCACTCCACTAGGATTAATTGAATCAATTCTTCGTGCCAAGGTGCCAGGGACTGGGCTTGTGGTTGCCAAACCGTGGATGTCCCCAGCAAAGCAGATTTTAAAACTGGTTGTCCATTTTCAAGGAAGCAGCTCATAGGCTCATAGACATCATCTTGTTACAAGTACCAACAATATTGAAAGGAAGAAGCTTGTGCGTTCGAAAACCCACCCCAGGTGCCCCAGAGAGAATGCAACTTGCCAAGAAGCAGACAGGTCAATGGCATGCACGTCTTGCAAATACCTCAGAGCACGCTGAGTTTGTACCTTTTCGACGGTGAAAGGGACCCGAGATCTTCAAGATCTTGAACTGCAGTCGGTACCGTCAGATTTGGAAAGTTGCAGTGGTTTCAACTTCTTTGACTCAAATTTACATCACTCAGTCACTGCTGTTTCGCCAGGACAAGGGACACTTCTGCACCATTTTCATCCAGGATTCCTTCAGCGAGAAGGCCTTTCAATGCGGTCCCATGCTCTTCGTACCTCGGCCAAAGAGTGACCTTTGGGTATCCAACGATGACAAAAACCATTGGAATTCAAACAACAAGAGGAAGAACAATGCCAAATTTGTACGTATCATAAGAACGATGATCATAATCATAATAATCCAATTCCCCTAACATGAAGGTGATAGGAAAAGAAAAAATACGATTTGGGACCATTTCGAAGGTGCTTGTTCTATGAACGGGGGATTAGTGTTTTTGTGACATTCTTGAGCATCTTTTAGCCCAGCATCAAAGCAAAAGCTTCCTCTTTGCTGACACCAAGGCGAGCAGTGTAGGCTGCAATGCTGTCCTGGGTCACGTGGCTCTTAAGGCACGCGACAACGAGCAGGAATAGCAGTGGGCACTGCATCATTCATTGTGCGAAAAAGATCCAAAAAAGGCATCAAAAAAAATATTTGAAAAAAAACACTAGAGGAAGTCTAAGCCAAGCTATGTCACACATTTTATGCATGGTGGGTAGATACACATCACATCCCACCGAAACCTGAAAACCCACGGCACCGTCAGCTTCTCGGCCGTGGTCCAGTTGTTTTGGTAGAGGCAATCGTCACAATCCTTGGGACTGCATCTGCTGACAGATCTGTTTGAGTACGGTATGATGCTTGTCACAGTGGGCTCCATTTTGCCATTTGCTTCTGTGTCCCAAACCACTTGATTTGAAATGTTCAGTAATGTTTGTTTTCATGTCATTTCACTGCTTTCCATTCGTTTCTCTGAGTGCATTTTGTTCCAACAGACTGATACATCCATGCAAACGAGGGGCTAAGAATAGCACTACATCATCCTCCCACGCTGTGTCCTGTGGTGGCCACTTGAACACAGGTCAGCAAAGGGATGTCTCAGGCAAGAGAATGTGCAAATCTCTTGGGATATCTCATTGGGCCATCCATTCCTCGCCTTGGGAAGTCTCTTTTGTGCAATCGGTATGGCAAAGGGAAGCCCCTGAAGCCCGAAATATCTGCCTCCGCAAAATCGCGTTCGGAAATATCCAGCAATCATGGACACAGTCTGAAACAAAAATAGACAAAGATATATGGAGGTTTCCCAAAATTGGGGTACCCCCAAATCCTCCATTTTAGTAGGACTTTCCAGTATGAACTATCTGTTTTGGGGTACCCCCATTTTAGGAAACCCCCAGATGACATGAGCCATGCATCCATCAAAGTGTTCATGGCCTGCACCAACGCACATTAGGATGCGCAAACATTGCAACGCACCGACCCGGTGCCGCATGACCCGAGTTCTCTGGGATTGAAGTTAAAGTATATGTATGTGTATATATATATATAACTAAATAATACTAAATATACATATGTGTACATATATAATTATGTATGTGTAATATTATGGCCAGGCGCTGCGTGTTGCCTGGAAACTTCAAATGGCGTATATGCATTATCCTTCAACATGCTCAAACACCTGCATAGAGGCAGTGTCTTGAGATTTCCCAAGCGACGAACCCTAAACACTAAACCCTAAAACCCTAAAGCCCTAAATTTTAGGAGCCTTGCGGCACTTGGGCGACGCAAAGCGGCTGCAACCATGTGTGGATAACGTTGTTGACGTTGTCGTTGTCGTTGTCGTTGTCGTTGTCGTTGTCGTTGTCGTTGTCGTTGTCGTTGTCGTTGTCGTTGTCGTTGTCGTTGTCGTGTCGCTGTCGCTGTTGCTGTTGCTGTTGCTGTTGCTGTTGCTGTTGTTGTTGTTGTTGTTGTTGTTCTGGTTGTGGTTGTGGTTGTGGTTGTGGTTGTGGTTGTTGTTGTGGTTGTGGTTGTGGTTGTTGCTGTTGCTGTTGCTGTTGTTGTTGTTGTTGTTGCTGTTGCTGCTGTTGCTGCTGTTGCTGCTGTTGCTGCTGTTGCTGCTGTTGCTGCTGTTGTTGCTGTTGTTGCTGCTGTTGCTGCTGTTGCTGTTGCTGTTGCTGTTGCTGTTGTTGTTGCTGTTGCTGTTGGTGTTGTTGTTATTGCATATATTACTATGTTCCTTCCGGTTTTAATTGCAATTATTGCCATGGGCCCTTTTTATCCCAACTCTTTAACCCTAAATGTTTTGACCTTAAAACCCTTTAACCCTATGCCCCCTTTACTCCTACAGCCTTCAAACCCTAAATCCTTTAACCCTAAAATCCATTCACCCTAAAATCTTCCGGCCCTAAATCCTTTTAACGCTAAAACCTTTTGCCCCTCAAACCTTCAGCCCCACCGCCTTTAACCTTTTCCAAAATTCAAACCTACAAGCCTTTAACCCAAAGCACCTTTAACCCTGAACCCTGAACTAGTTGGGCGCCTGGGGCTCGATTAAGTTGGGCATGTTAGTCCTTAAGTTGGGGCCTGGGGCCTGTAAACTTAAGTTGGGGCCTGAAGTCAGAGAATATAAGTCCGGGCCTGGGGGCTGTGCTTAAGTTGGGGCCTGGGGTTTGTAAACTTAATCTGGGGCTGTGAGCTTAAGTTGGGGCCTGGGGGCTGTGAATTTAAGCCGGGGCCTGGGGGCTGTGAGCTTAAGTTGGTGCCTAGGGGCTGTGAACTTAAGTTGGGGACTGGGGGCTGTGAACTTAAGTCGGGACCTGGGGCTGTGAACTTAAGTTGGGGCCTGGGGGCTGTGAATTTAAATTGGGGCCTGGGGCCTGTAAACTTAAGTTGGGGGGCGGAGGCTGTGAATCTAAATTGGCGCCTGGCGCCTGTGAATTTAAATTGAGGCCTGGGGCCGGTGAATTTAAATTGGGGCCTGGGGCTTGTAAACTTCTGGGCCCGGGGCCTGTAAACTTAAGTTGGGGTCTGGGGGCTGTGACTTTAAATCGGGGCCTAGGGCCTGCAAACCTAAGTTAGGGCCCGGGGCCTGTAAATTGGGGCTTGGGGGCTGTGAAAATAAATTGGGGCCTGGGCCTGTAAGCTTAAGTTGGGGCCTGGTGGCTGTGAATTTAAATTGGAACCTGGGGCCTGTCAGCTTAAGTTGGGGCCTGGGGCCTGGGAGGGCCTGGGGCCTGTAAACTTAAATTGGGGCCTAGGCCTGGGGCCTGTAAACTTAAATTGGGGCTTGGGGGCTGTGAATTTAATTTAGGGCCTGGGCTTGCAAGGTTAAGTACGGGCCTGGGGCCTGTAAATTTAAATTGGTGTTTGGGGGCTGTGAATTTACATTAGGGCCGGGGCCTGTAAGCTTAAGTTGGGGCCTGGGGGCTGTGAATCTAAATTGGAACCTGGGGCCTGTCAGCTTAAGTTGGGGCCTGGGGGCTGTGAATTTAAATTGGGGCCTGGGGCATGTAAATTTAAGTTCGGGGGTGGAGGCTGCGAATCTAAATTGGGCCTGGTGGCTGTGAAATTAAGTTGAAGTCTGGGGCCTGGGAGGGCCTAAGGCTTGTAAATTTAAATTGATGCCTGGGCCCGGGGCCTGTAAACTTAAGTTGGGGCCTGGGGGCTGTGACTTTAAATCGGGGCTTGGGGCCTGCAAACTTAAGTTGGGGTCCGGGGCCTGTAAACTTAAATTGGGGCTTGGGGGCTGTGAATTTAAATTGGGGCCTGGGCCTGTAAGCTTAAGTACGGGCCTGGGGGCTGTGAATTTAAATTGGGGCCTGGGGCCTGTAAACTTCAGTTGGGGCCTGGGGGTCTACTTAAGTTAGGGCTTCAAAACTTCAGTTTGCCAGGGCTGTGCTTAAGGTAAGGCTCTGGGTGAACTTAAGTTTGCCAAGGCTGTGCTTAAGTTGGTGCCCTGGGTGATCTGAAGTTAATGCCTCAAATTTTAAGTTCGACGGGGCTGTGCTTAAGTTCGCCTTGACGAACTTAAGTTTTTTCAACTTAAGTTTTGGAGCATAGGGCGCGCACCCCGTAAAAGAGTCTAAAAAACTTTCTTGTGATTCCTTGTGATTAACTTTACAAACCTTCCTGTCCAAGACAGCTTTCACTTGGGCGCCGCTTTGCGTCGGACCCTAAAACCCTAAAACCTTAAACCCTAAACCCGAAAACCAAAACCCTGAAAACTTTGAATCCTAAACCAGAAAACACTACGTATATGCAGTATTTTTTTGCAATCTCTCCTATCATATTCGACAACACAACATCCTCAATGTTAATGTCTGGGCAACACGCAGCGTCTGTGGGTAATATTATATATATACATACATACATAAGAAATGGTCCAAGACATGTGAGTTGCTTCAACCAGGATTTTTCAGTGCAGACTAACGTGCCCTCCCATGCGTTCACTAGGAGCTGCCAAGAGTGCAGACTGGAGCTGATTTATCCAGTAGGATGAGCTCATTCAATGAGCAACACATGGGAAACCAGCTGCCTGAGGTACCGCAACCATCATTGAGCCCCGATTTGCTATCATAGACACGGATCATTACTCTAAGTCGAGAATTTCTAGTACAGGTCAAAGGAAACCTGCATCAATGGATGCTGACACAGCCGATATCAAAGGCTTTCAGTTGAGCCAAGGCAAAAATAAATGTAGCCTTTTCTCAAGTCAGACAAATGTTTGCTTATAACTTACTGTACATCATATTCTCCCTCACTGCAATCCAAAGTACAAACTGAAAAACACTCCAAAATGATCAAGTCTGCAGAACAAACTTGTCATTTCCGGCATAAAACGGTGCAAGGACTGAGTTCTTTCAAGAAAAAGACAATGTAAGAACACAAAAATGTATTTCTAGAGACAACGCACGCGAACCCCATAGCAATGTCAATTTCTGTCGCACAAAGTAGAAATCTGGAGACGAAGGTTCAAACACCCCAGCAGGGTTTGGAAGCCACAGCAACGACTGGGTCGTTAAAAGCTCTGATCTCTGAAGCAAACATTCTGCGACTGCCAGCAGCTTGATTTCTTGGAGGATTCTGACTGAGCAGAGCTAATTCTGACTGTGGCGCCGCAACTACGACCTGCTCGCCTCGCCACTTGGGCACTGCATGGTGGGCATGGCCTGGAAAGGCCTTTGCCCAACTCACAGCCACCATGGCCTCCTATAAGCAGATCTTCAGAAACTTCTTGGCCCTTGGCATCTCAAAATACCGGAAATCTCACCATTTTAAGAAAATCCCCGGCCAGGGAAGGCGCTTCCCCTGAGGTTCATCTGGGGGAGCTACCACCTCGCAGTGGCCAATATTTTGACTCTGTATTACCAAATAGATATAAATAGATCCTATAATGGTACTGAGTCACTGAGCTTCTAACTTTGACTTTGGGGACAAGAGGCCAATACTTTGACTGTAGCACTGTAGCATACTGTAGCCATTGGCCTCACTGCACATGGCAGCTCTTACCAGCTTCGCTGCTCACCTCGCTCAAGAGTCGCTGCTCAGCTGACTGAAATCGACCCCCAACGACCAGATGTCTGATGTCACGTCAAGTGATTTGAAATGTCAGGACTTCTCAGGCTTGGGAATGATCTCAAGAAGTGCTGATCATGTTGTTAATGTGTATAGATATACATATATATATATTATACACCGTTCGAATATAAATAAATTCATTAGCATCATGCAGAACAATCTTTCAGGATCTTGATTTGCTTCTACGAAAACACCGGGGACTGGGCATGTCTTTTGCCAAGACACTTGCAACACTCCAGGTAGCAAATTACACAGGCCTTGGTGCACTATCCATTCCAACTGCTAGGACATGTTGGGTGTGTCACAATGCACACTTTCCATGTCAAAACTATCAAAAAATCAAATGATATGATAGAAATGGTAGAAATGAGAGAAATGATATCTATCAATGATATACAGTAGATCAGTAGATCTTGAAACTGAATCAGATCTTCAACAGGAGCATCCCGCCAAGAGCTGAGGCTACCGACCACAATCATGAAGATCAACGCCAAACACTCAGCCGTGGTGCTGGTCGCGATGTATGGATTGGAGGCAGCGTCAAACTCGATCTCCTCACGAAAATATAGGATCCATTGATGCCCATTGATGCCCATTGATGCCCATTGATGCCCATTGATGCCCATTGATGCCCACCAATCATATCCAACAATCCAGTTGACCTCCAATGGGATACCCCTGCGCAGTGATTGTTGTCTTGTTTGATTTTTTTTCTGTGCATCCAAGTCCTTTTGGTTCCGATGGGCTAGTCTGAAAATAGGATACCCCAAAAATCCCCAAATTCCTATGGTTTATCTGAGTTTATCTGTTTGTCATCATTCAGTAGCCACAACTTGAGGGTCCCATTTTTGAAACCAGAAATGCCAGAAAATCCCACACCTTCACCTCCGCGACTGTCACGGCACCACTCTTCAGCGCCTGCGGGGTTGGATGCGATCACTTTCACCAAACCATTGGTTCATTGACCTTATTCAAATAAATGAATCTGCAACCAAATGCATGCAAACTCTGTGGCCGAAGCAACCAACATAACGGCCCACGATTCTCAGTTTGATGTCTTTGTCGAAAAGAACATTTTGGTGTGGAATGTACACCAACTGTGGCAACTATTGATAGTTCCTCGTGCAATATAAATTCAGGCTGCATACCCAAAATCACTTGCAATCGACAAAAAAAAATGAAACCCAATGGTTTTGACAATTTCAAGTGTTCAAGTATTCAAGTATTCAAATATATTCAAATATTCAAGTATCATCAACGTCCACATACTTAATTAATAGTTTAATGCTGAAAAATGCGGAACACCCTGCTCCAAACCCCAAACTTTCGGGACCCATGGGCGTGCAGGTCCCAACAGATTCCACACCGGATTTTGCCATGGCCATGGCAAACCCAGTCTTGTAAGAACGGAATTTGAGTTCCAGGACATTCATCCCTAAAAATCATAAGGGAGTCATGGTCAGCACCCAGCCAAACCCAGCCTCTGGCTGGGTCGCATCGTTCTCCACTTTTGGGACCTCAAACCAGGCACCAATCAGATAGGTTTTAATTCTGAAGAATGTGGAACTGAAAAACAAATGGATGCAAGAAATATGTGAACATTGTCTTTTTCACCATGCAGTTCATGGGAAAAGAAGAACAAGTAGTTGTTCGATCGCAACACGCCAATGTATTTCTCGGACACCCGAACAGACAAAAACTCCTGACATCACGGTGGGTGGTTGTGCCAACACAGCAACAACAATCACCAATTTTCGTCCTTCCACCAAAAAGAAGAATGAAATGTCAAGTACCTTACCCTGTTCTCAATTTTTTCGGGATCAAACAAAGAAAAATGTGGATGTCAATTTTTTGGAGGTGCGTTTATTTGGCCGGTCCACAAACAACTATATTCCACAATTCCTCGCATTTTGCTCCTGGGAAGAGTCGGACTGAGCAATGCAAAGGAGCAACGCGGCAATCAAAATTCGGAACATCTCGCGTTGGTGGCCTTGGCGCGAATGGAATGTCTCCCGGCTGCCTATTTCAAATTGACTCAGATCTGACTCAGATCACCTCATATTTCAAGTAAGGTGTCCCTAAGGAAAATGTTGGCGGTTGGGCAATTCGTACACCATTATGTTAAAAAAAATGGGTTTCCGAACAGTTTTGTCCCGGAGAGACGTGCGGCGTGAAATAATTGGAGCCAAAAACTATCGAAATGCATGTGTGGAATTTCTTGCAGCATGGCTGGCCACACGTGACATGCAAACTATCACCCGTCAATCGTCAAAAAACGGAAACAAAAAGTCAGCACTTTTGTTCCAAACATCAGAACAAAATTGGCATCAGAGATAGGTGTCAAAGTTGCAGAACAACGTTCCTGTTGCCAAATTTTGGTTCCGTGTTATTGGCATCATGACCAAGAAAACCTAAGGGGGTTCTTCTGGCGAAATTGGGTTGCATTTTTGTTCCACGTTTCAACAGGATCATGAAAAGGGCAAAGAAGGAGAAAGAAGTAGGGGAAGGAAGGGAAGAGAAAACGGAAGACAAAGCGTCAGAAGGCTAACACAATGTCCGGGATCAAGCAAAACAAGGAGATCACGGATGAAGGTGTAAAGATCACTGATGTGATGTGAGCTCTATGGTTCCAGATGAGAGTCCCAGTCCACAGAACCATGGACCAAAGGATGTACTAAAAATCGAATTGTTTGACGATGATCTTTGCACAACATCCGGGATCAAGGCAAGGAAAAAGCAAAACAAGAAGAAACACAAGCAAGGCTACAAATAAAGAGACAACTCCGGAAACAACTCTGGAGACAAGTACGGACACAAGTCCGGAGACAAGTATGGAGACACGTAGCAGTAGCGAGACAAGTAGGGAGACCAGGGAGACAAGTAAGGAAACAAGTACAGAGACAGGGAGGGAGACGGGTAGGGGGAGAAGGAAGGAGACAACCAGGAAAAGAAAGCAAGGAGACAAGTAGGAAGCAAGTGAAGAATCAAATGCAGACAGGTCGGGAGACAATTGGAAACAAGTAGGCAGGCAATTGGAGAAAAACCAGGGGAAACCAGACACAGCATTCGATTTCGAGATGGGAACAAAAAGAAGAGGAATAATGCAAGGAATCAATAATGATCAAAGGAAATTTCGTAAAGAAACGCCGACTTGCGGATGATTTTCCAAAAGTGTTTAAATCCAGTTGGCATGTTCCTGAAGTAGAAAGGTAGTTCAGAGGGTTTTAAGTCCAGTTGGCATGTTCTTGACGTAGGGAAGTAGTTCAGAACTCATTCTGACCAGGTGCCATGTTCGTGGAGCAAAAAACTAGTCCAGAAGTTTTGATGTCCTGTTTGCACGTTTCTGAGGTATAAAAGTAGCTTGTGTCATAAGCCTGTCAGCGTCTAGAGTAGAGTAGGGGAGCACAGTGGAGCAGATTAAAGTTGAGCCGAGTAGACGAGCAGAGTAGAACAGAGCACAGCTGAGTTGCATGTGCAAATGTCTGCAACTGTTACACACTCATCTCGATTTGTGCCAGTGTCATCCTGGCGCAGGGGAATGCATCTCTTACGCGCTCCTCATTTGATCAAGCGTCCCATTTTCCATGTTTGTTGCATCTCGCATCAGCAAATTGGCAGTGATTGTTACTGCCAAGCCACTTCCAGAGAAAAACACATCCATACCCTCACGGCGGGTACATATTTTGGATCCCAGCTCTGTGAAAACTTCAAACATACGACCTTTGCACCTGGCAAGCATCACATCGCTGATTCCATCCCGAACTCCTTGCAAGAATTCCAGGATCAAATTTTGAATCGCATTCGCATCCCAGAATTCTCCGCGTTCCAAACAAATCGCATGTTCAGTTTTCAAAAGCTCCACCATCCCTTCAACTGTCTGTGGCACAGCTGAGGGTAAAACTGAAGATGAAGCTGCTGGTTCCACCTCCATGTCATGATCGTTTGTTCCGCTTTCTGATTCTCCCGCATTTCCACTGTCAGTGTTGTCTGCACGACCATTTGGATTGCCACGCCGACGAACCAATCGCATGTATTCGACTGATCCCATAGTTTGCGGAGCAACCAGATTCGCACGCTCCGGAGTTGTTGAGTGAATCCACTGTTGGTGGGATAGTCCAAGACCATTCCTCAAATAGCCACCGCTTTCCACGATGTAGTAATGGATCCCAGAGGTGTGGTCATGAGTCATGCTGATCTCACTGCTAACTTGCATGAGTTCATCTCTGAGTTCAGCTTTGTTGCGGTCAACAAGACCTTCTGCAATCTCGGCCCTCTGGTTCAAGTCGTTGATGCGCTGCTCCAACTGACCTGAAAACTCATCTTCTGCGGCAGCTTGATTCCAACAGTGTTCCAAGTCTTTTGACAACTTCTGGTGTGGAAAAAAAACATTTTTGGGGGGGGCAGCAAAAAAAAAAATTAGCTAGCAACTACATCCCAGTGTGGCCAAGCGCAAACTGAATCCACACCTTAAACACCAGGGAGTGAACACCCTTACCGTTCAAGTGTGTTTGTCTCTAGTTGCTCTGACATGCAAACAAGCAAGCGAAAGACAGCGACCGGTTTTTTTGCTGGAAGAGGTTCTGTGTGCTCAGGCTAGATTCAAACAACCCTCTGTATCACAACCCTAAAAAACACTGGCAAAAAAACGGCTCGCTGACATCCCCCCGTTTCAAGTGAGACGTTTTCATCTTATAAGAAACAACTTAGGTGCATAAACGCAGGCATACGCCACCTATACCTATGCATATATATAAATATGTATATATGCATATAGGTAAATATATGGGATACGCAAAAAACGCCGGAAATTAAACATGGAGAAAAAGGAGATCTCCGAAAAACGAAATGAACATGCCCACATCACTGAAATGAAGTGTCTGAATGGAGTTCCGTGCGGCCTTTCACTTTTTCTGTTTGCTCCTTGGTCTGGGGCGTTTTCACAACTAACGGTTTGAACTTTGCCATGCAGTTGCTGGATCTGCATTTTCTGACGATGTCCAGGTGACTTTGTCAACTGGCATTTCGTGTTTGGTGCTCAGGTGTTGTGCCCCCCCCACCACAAGGGATGGGAGGGCGGGCCAAAAGAAAAGAGGTTGTGGAGGTGGAACTGTTGTCTGTGTTCTTTTTTAACCCACCTCAACCTCACCCTTGAGATGATAATGGCCATGTCGAAATGAAAATGGATTGAGTTCATGAGGGAACATGGCAAACTGTGTGTTGAAACGCAAGGTTGGAAACACAGTGTTAAAAAAATCTCATGAAAAATAAATTACGCAACAGAGCAAATGATTTGCATGATGTTGCCAAGTACCAGGTTTTGCACCTAAGGAAAAATTTGTTTGAGTGTTAGATTCAAATTTTTCAAATTGTTTCCTTCAAAGATAATGCTCTCACTTCGTGATAGCACTCATCTTATAAGAAACAACTTAGGTGCATAAACGCAGGCATACGCCACCTATACCTATGCATATATATAAATATGTATATATGCATATAGGTAAATATATGGGATACGCAAAATACGCCGGAAATTAAACATGGAGAAAAAGGAGATCGCCGAAAAACGAAATGAACATGCTCACATCACTGAAATGAAGTGTCTGAATGGAGTTCCGTGCGGCCTTTCACTTTTTCTGCTTGCTCCTTGGTCTGGGGCGTTTTCACAACTAACGGTTTGAGCTTTGCTATGCAGTTGCTGGATCTGCATTTTCTGACGATGTCCAGGTGACTTTGTCAACTGGCATTTCGTGTTTGGTGCTCAGGTGTTGTGCCCCTGTGGAAAAGGAGAGCAGCACTAAAAGGTCGTTCATGGAGTCCAACTATTGTTGTGGCAAGTTCGGCGGTGGCGTCAACAATGCCCCCGTCAGAAACATTGAAGCGACGCATGGCTTCACTCAGTTTATGTCGCGATGGCAAATCTCCGGGATTGGAGAACGAGCATACGCGTTCCGTCCAAGCAAAAACTGGCCATGCTACTTCCATGTCTGCCAGAGCTCTCGTGAGAGCCCTCATGGCTGGCGACGGGCTCGAAGCCTTTATTGCACAAACTCTTGCAGCTTCATTGTCGACCCAAGAGATTAACCTGCGGCTTTCAAGTCGCTCACGGAAATGCCATCTGATTGCTACGAGGGCCCAAAGTTCAATCTGAGAGATGATTTGCTCACCTGCATGCTTCAACCAATGGGCAACCAGCGTGTCGGGTACAGTTATGGTGCACCCAATGCGAAAATCTCCATCAACCAGAATGGCACCTGCAGACGCTTGGCCATCTTCCCAAGCACCATCCGTGAACAAGAGTATTGGCCTTCTTTCACCTGTGGTTGAGTGAGTCCTCGCTCTTGACCTTGTCCAAAAGAGCGCACAGCTTTTCGATCCTCGTAGTTTTGTTGGTGACCTGCAAAATCCCCTTGGGAGTCAAAGCAAGGTTGAAGTTCACGCCCAACAAGTCAAAGGCACCAGCAAAGTTCAACGCTTTATCGCCCTCTTTTGCGTGTCCCCAACCCAGCATGTCCAGCACTGCGCTGAACGCAAGAGAAAGCACCCTGCAGCCTGGGGCTCTTTCCAAAGTGGGGAAGTCATCAAAATAATGACTTGATACTGCAGATAGCAGCCTAGTCACTATGTACCATATTGCTTGTGACACCCTCACGAAGCCATACACGCTACCAGTGCAACCGAAAGGAAGGGAGATACTTCGATAGAATCTCCAGGTGCCACTCACAGGAAATCCTACCACTGCATGCCTCTGGTGGGCAGGAAGAATGGCAAGTTGTTTGTAAGCCTTGCTAAGGTCGAAGGTCTTGCCCATCCATTCATCGCCAGAAATGCCGGCTGCCGCCGATTCTGACATCAAAAACAGAACCATGTTAGCCGCATAGTCCACATCCTGGAGCTGCAACTTGACGGTGGAACTGTAAGCTGCATTGACCGAGCTCTTCTTTGCATCATCTATCACTCTGATCTTGCCGCCAGTGCCCTGGAAGAGGACGAAACGCGGGCTGAGGGACCAGTCCTCGGTTTCCAACAAAACGGAAATTTCCTGTTCTGAATACGGCCCCTCCAAAAAACCCTTTGCCACTTCTTCAGCCGTGGTCTCGAGGAGAGCGGCTTCCTCTTCAGGTTTGAAGCGCTTGGATTGACACATCAGAGACTTACGCCTCCAAGCTGCTGATTGTAGCAACTCGTCCTCTGTGATGGATGCTGGCACCAGCTGCTCTCTGTATCCATTAGGGGCCGCTTGCAACCCAACCAGGGGAATTCCCTGCTTCAACAGGGAAACAACCTCCATATCCCAAAGCCAAGCTGTTTAAGGACGTGCTCGAAAAGGAGGATGTTCTTGGACGCTGTGCATCTTTTGACATCTGGGTGCATTGTGTCCTTGAGTGCCAACTCTTGGCAATTGAGTTCGTTTGTGAATTTACGCAGGTTGAAAACGGTGGCCAAGCGCTCCTGTGCCAATACCAGAGGGTCAGTTCTGACCACTTTCTTGATAGCATCCTTTGTCGCCACATGCAGAAAGGATTCATTGTCCATGGGGTGAACAACAGCTTCAGCTCTAGTCAGGAACTGTTCGGGTGTATGCCACACCCCATATTTAAACTCCTTTCGCGGTCTCTTTGACTTGTGTTCCTGTGTTCCTTCTGGCTGCTCAGTGCTATGGTGCCCCTGTGAAAAAGGAGCTGACATTATTTTCACTAACAAACCACAAGACGGTGGGGAAGGATCAAACGTATAGATCCATATTCATATATGTGGTTTATTTATTTAAACTAACAATAAAACATCAAGAAGAATAATATATAACAATATATTATTCAACCAAATATCTCGAGGATACGCGCGCCATCGAAAGTGTGTTTCCAAATCGTGATCATCAAACTGCACAAGGACATGCGGATAAATCACAAAAGCAAATCGAAACAAACAAACAATGGACATCACTGAAATGAAAACGTGGCGGTGGAATGCTGCCTCTCTTTTTGTCGCGGGTTCACTTCGAATGCACAGTCGGGGTAAAGACAGGAAAGGTTGCAGTTTCAACCTGTAGCGAACAAATCATGTTTTTGTCACTGGAAGGTGGCAGATGATGCTATCTGCGTAGGGTCAAGCTTTCCGGTTGCATGCTTCCGGAACACCCGTTGATATACCCCCCCCGCAGCGTGGGTGGGTGAACGTAGTGAAAGTAGGGTGGGTAACGCTGCCCTCTTAAAAAGGGTGGAATTCCCCCCCACCCTCCCTTGAAACGGAAAACATCAAACGAATGAAAAATCACACATGTGAACATGAAGTATCATCGATGTTTCCAGTTAAACAGGGAGACAACCAACAAACTGTTTACTGTTTGTGTTTGTTTGTTGTTTGGTGGTTTCATAGATTTTTTTTGGGGGGGGCCTTGTTAATTTGTCCCACTGGGACAAATTTTTGTTGTCGTGAAAATAAGGCATTCATCTTTGATTCTCAAAGAGGTGTTGCTTATTTTCACTAACAAACCACAAGACGGTGGGGAAGGATCAAACGTATAGATCCATATTCATATATGTGGTTTATTTATTTAAACTAACAATAAAACATCAAGAAGAATAATATATAACAATATATTCTTCAACCAAATATCTCGAGGATACGCGCGCCATCGAAAGTGTGTTTCCAAATCGTGATCATCAAACTGCACAAGGACATGCGGATAAATCACAAAAGCAAATCGAAACAAACAAACAATGGACATCACTGAAATGAAAACGTGGCGGTGGAATGCTGCCTCTCTTTTTGTCGCGGGTTCACTTCGAATGCACAGTCGGGGTAAAGACAGGAAAGGTTGCAGTTTCAACCTGTAGCGAACAAATCATGTTTTTGTCACAGGAAGGTGGCAGATGATGCTATCTGCGTAGGGTCAAGCTTTCCGGTTGCATGCTTCCGGAACACCCGTTGATATACCCCCCCCGCAGCGTGGGTGGGTGAACGTAGTGAAAGTAGGGTGGGTAACGCTGCCCTCTTAAAAAGGGTGGAATTCCCCCCCACCCTCCCTTGAAACGGAAAACATCAAACGAATGAAAAATCACACATGTGAACATGAAGTATCATCGATGTTTCCAGTTAAACAGGGAGACAACCAACAAACTGTTTACTGTTTGTGTTTGTTTGTTGTTTGGTGGTTTCATAGATTTTTTTTGGGGGGGGCCTTGTTAATTTGTCCCACTGGGACAAATTTTTGTTGTCGTGAAAATAAGGCATTCATCTTTGATTCTCAAAGAGGTGTTGCTTATTTTCACTAACAAACCACAAGACGGTGGGGAAGGATCAAACGTATAGATCCATATTCATATATGTGGTTTATTTATTTAAACTAACAATAAAACATCAAGAAGAATAATATATAACAATATATTCTTCAACCAAATATCTCGAGGATACGCGCGCCATCGAAAGTGTGTTTCCAAATCGTGATCATCAAACTGCACAAGGACATGCGGATAAATCACAAAAGCAAATCGAAACAAACAAACAATGGACATCACTGAAATGAAAACGTGGCGGTGGAATGCTGCCTCTCTTTTTGTCGCGGGTTCACTTCGAATGCACAGTCGGGGTAAAGACAGGAAAGGTTGCAGTTTCAACCTGTAGCGAACAAATCATGTTTTTGTCACTGGAAGGTGGCAGATGATGCTATCTGCGTAGGGTCAAGCTTTCCGGTTGCATGCTTCCGGAACACCCGTTGATATACCCCACTGACTTAAGTGTGCAGGAAGAACCACTGAGAGAAGTTTGGCTTGGGTAAGCCAGGCCACGTTAAAGTTCAGCCTAGATGCGTCGTCTGCTGGGTTGCTAGCGGACGGGACTCGTCCGAACCATGGTAACAAACCTAACAACTTCTCATACTTGACAAAGTCTCGCACCTTGCCTGCTGCCGCTGGGGTGGCTCCCTCCGCACGGACAAAGGCACTATGTGCTGCAGTATTGTCTAAGTAAAACACAACGTGGCTCTTCTCCAACAACTTGGCCCATATCCTGATGGCTACCAGGACTGGGAGGATCTCAAGCTCATATATTGGATGTTCTGAATGTTCCAGGAATTGGTCCAGCAAGGTCTGTGGAACAGGCAACCCAAAGAACTCTAATGACCTTCCACATTCATCAACTAGTAGGCCACCAACAGTGGCAGGTGTATTGGAAGTGGGTTCAAACGCTCCATCCGTGAAGACAAAGAAGGTGCTGGAATGAGATAGGGAGACTTGGACTGGTCTGGCTCTGACCAGTTCCTCCGCCAGAAATTTCAACGCATGGTTCAGGTCATCGGGCTTGTTGATGGTTTTGGTTTTGAAACTTGCGTATCTCGAAATCACCCTCACTGCAGTATTCAACTCTCGGCCAAAAACATAGGAACTGAACCACACCAACCGACCATGCAGTTTCTCCAGCGCTTTCACCTCTACCGTCTCGACCTGCAAAAATTCATGCAATGTGGCTAGGAGCTCTTCTCGTCTTTTGTCAGTGTGACCTAAGACAAAAGACCCATGGTCGGTTTCAGACAAGTCGAATTCCAACCCCAGGGTTTTGAACTTCTCCGCAAAGTCTGGGGCCTTGGGGCCCGTCTCAGCATATTTCACTCCAAGCAAACGCAACAAGGACTCTACACAGAAGGTCACCTCTTGAGCCGTCTGCCTGGTACACAAAGCAGTATAATCATCAAAGAAATTGGTCCAAATGAGCCGCAGCCCCACCGTGCCAATGAACTTAATGGAAGCTGCTATGCGCAAGAATGAAGAGACAGAGGCTGTGGCCCCGAACGGTAGCGATTGGACCGCAAAGAACTTGACTCCGCCGCCCGGGTGACGCTGGGCAATCCTGAGAGTTTTTTGGTGCTCGACGTCGACCCCAAATTGCTTATAAGCGCTTTTCAAGTCAAACGTCCTACCCACAAGATTCAGCAGAGCACTTTCACCGCATTTTTTCAACATCACAAGGATGGTGGCCGTCAGCTCGTCCACCGACTCCACCCTGAGTTTTTCGGCCATGCCCACCGTTTGGTTAACTCCAGCTGCTGAAAAATCGTCGATCAACCGCAATTTACCGCCCTGCTGCAAAGGAAAGCGTTTGGCTACATGCACCACACGCAAATCTGAAACTTCACAAGGTTCTAGCCACCCGTTCTGAATCTCTGCCTGGGTTTCTTCCCAAGCCGGGACATCCAACTCTGAATCTCCGGCCTGTGCCAACGATTCCACCACTGCATGGTTCAGTCCAAGTGCAATGCCCCGCAATTGATCCACGGTCATGTCTGGAGGCCGCACATCAGGCACAAAAACTCCCGATTCTTCGGTCCAACCTGTCATAGGGAAACCTCGGATGATTTCGTCCACCACCTTGGCATCTTGGTATCCTAGTTCAAGCAAAAGTTCACGCCACAATAAGAGGCGTTTGCCTGCCAGGACCCTGCGCAAGTGTGCAGGCAACTTGGAGTGCAAATCCTCCTCATGTTCATGCAACTCTTTTGCCCTTTGCAACCATTTTTTCAAAAACCGGGCTCTAAGCAAAGAAAGTTTCGCCGCATTCCCCAAAAGATGATCCACAGCAACTTCAGCCTCACTACTCACCCTTGCAAGCAAGAAACGTGGATGCCCTAATGCCACTGCAGCTGCAATGAACTCGGTTGGATCTCTTGGAACGCCTACTTTCACCAGTTCGAAGGTTTCTCCATCATCCAAATGGGAGACCATGGTGGCACCCTTTTGGGTCATGAAAACGTCCCGCCTAAACCCCCATTGAATTTGACGTGACACTATTTTTGAACCCTTAGGACAAAGTTTTTCCAACTGCAATTTTGAAGCATCCTCCAGGCTTACTGCCATGACTAGAAAATGACCAAACTCAGACAAAATCGGCCGCAACTTCTGCTGACGAGGTTGTGTAGTGAACAACTGCCTTTTTCCGACTGCGCTGTCGTGTTGCAGCTGCTGTGTCAAACTGTCATCTGGTGCTAAGCCTCGGCAGGTTGCTTCTTGCAAAAGGATGCTTGCCATGCGTTCACACAGAAGAACTGGGTATGCAGCTTCGTCCTTGGTTGGAAAAATCCATCGGCCATCAACAAACCGAGGCCGCCATGACTGGTGTGGATGGCTCCTGTCACACTCCAGAGCCAATGATGCAAACAGGTTTATTTCTGGGGCGCGAGGGTTAAAAGACCAAAACTTTGTTGCTTTGTCTCTGGTGCCACCGTGCATGCAACTGTGAAAAATGGTCTCATGACCTCCTTTGACCGCCTTGTAGAGCCTTTGCATCATTGATGTCAACCAGAAAAGTGAGTTCTTAGGGTTCTCTACTAAAACCGAAATTCCCAGATCCACCAAGAGCAAGATGAGCCTCACTGCGGCTTCATATGAATCGTTGGCTGATATCACCCTTGCAGCTTCACTTGAAGTCAAATTGTCAAGGCCATCAGGCTTCTCCTCGGACCTAAGGGGCCGTGGTTGGCGCTCTTTAGGCAATCCAGGGACCAAACGCTCCCGGGCTTTGGAAGCGGTCCCACAACTGGGCGC